CATTTTCAGGTAACTCCTTTTGAGATCTTCTGGCCTACACTACATCCGCACCAGTCAGTCCGTGATTGCAATGTTTTGTTTTTCATGAAGAGAAAAAGTTGTGCCTGATTTTCAGCCGCGTGTCCTGCACCGAACACTTGGCAAACTCCAGTCACACTGATTTGTGATATTCGAAAGGAGTACAATCAACCAATGAGTACTAGAAACAAAAACACGTAAAAGGTACAAAGGGCGGGAGAAAGCGCGTGTGACCACGATACGGCAGGGGTGCTTCTAATGCATCATCCGATTAATAGAGAACTGCCAATAAAGTAAAGGTACACTAAAGTGCCTAATCGAAAAATGCCCCCAAGTCAATTCAGTATCTTTACCACAGCAGTTTCGTAGTCCTCCATTGTATAGTCTCGGCTTTGTCGCTCACGATTTATGTAGTCAAACCTCAGATGTATAACTGAATGATTATCTTCCGTCCGACCCACGTTTACATCTCTTAATAAACTTGTTTCCAGTCGGGAAATGACCTAGACAAAACAATACAAGTATTACTTTTACATTCCACCTGGTCGTGGTGTAAGTAGCTCCCCACCTCTACCCCACATAAAAACACCATAGCAAATTCTGATTAAGCTTCATGCACCCTTAAGTACCTTTCAACCAGTTAATAAGCTTTTCGCATTGCGTAGAAAGCAAAAAAATTTACTATTCAACAAGAATCACAATATCAACAGGTGTACATTTGACCAAAATCTTGCCTAATTAGCCTAAAATCTTGCCTAATTAGCCTAAAATCTTGCCTAATCTTGCCTCTAATTAGCACGATTTCACGGGCTCTGAAATTTACCTTAAAATATCTAAATTGAAATATTTTTCCGTCGCTAAATGTTTCATCCATCGTTTATCTCACACTGTTTTCTTATCATAGTCTGACATGTGGATCATGGTGTTTCAAATGGGAAGTACTAGCCTTCAACGGCTTCGACTACTCATGGGCAAAACTTCAACTGTGAATATTTCCTAAAAATTTGCTGCTGCAACCGTCTTTCTTAATAAACTCTAACCTTGCCCGCAAAGTTCTTCTCTATAATGAAGTTATCCCTGACCGTCAGAAACAGGTTCTCATCACCACCTTCAGCCTCATCTAACGGTGACTTTACTGTCACGACAAAATGGTGCCCATCTGGGATATCTGAAAACCAAAAAAAAAAAAAAAAAAAAAAAAAAAACAGAAAAAACTAAAATTATTATCTTTCTTACTCTTTCTATTCATAGGAAGCCCTCGATAGTGTAGGTTGCATATCACAAATAAACCTGCTCTCTTATTTTAGTTGCCATTTTTCCACTTTTAATTAAATATCAAGGGCAATTTAGGAATTAAATGGTTTTACTTCACCGCACAACATAGCTCGACATGATTGGTCTAGGAAACTCGGGCCATCCTCTCAAACAATCAAAACATCCTACCTAAAACATCCTACCTAAAATCAATGACGACTTGATCCCTCTCTGTTTTTCTTCGCTTAAGTTTCTTTTGTTTTAAATGTATATTGAACTTTTCTGTCTCAGAGGTAGCCTCAACGGAAAATCCCGTTAAAAACACAAATATTTCTAGAAATATCCACCTTAAAAAAATCTCTTACCTTCATCCGAGAGAATACTGAAAGTACTCGAGGGACTGTTTATCTCTATTGTATTATCCGTAAAACTCTGAGTGGACTCTGTGCGAATGACACTTGATGCTATAAAACAGCAAAAAATAATACGCAAGTTTCACACTGCGGGGCACATGAATCTGAATCGTTCCTAAAACCTGACCACTTCCATCGTTTGAATAGTTTTCATTTAGGTGGAGAAAAAGTTAAATCACTTCAATGTGACAAAAATAATTATTATTTACGGCTTTATCTGTTATTGCAAGACATGACAACATGACCAACAATTTACTCAAAATTACAATATAATAGCTTAGAAAAGATTTTTTGAAACTTTTACGAGGAAAACTATTCAAATTTCACATCTACAGGAAGGCACAATGCCGTCACGTACAACAAGTGTTGTTTTCAAGGACTTTACAGACAATGAACAAAATGCGTATTTATTAAAATTGCCAATTTGGCTCTAACCCTCTAGTTCTTACTCAGCGACTAAGAAATTCGTGGCAGTCGTATTGGTGGAGGGCTCCACTTACCGTGATCTAACAAAGATTCAGCAGACACATGTACACTGACAGGGGCTATTTGTTCCTGTTCTTGTGCGTGAACTACATGGTCAATGGCTGGTAACCATCCTGAGAAGGCATTATAAAATACATCTATCTTGAAAGCAAAATCACAGTCCTGCAAAACTCCATCCTTGAAACTGGAGAAGTACGGTTATGGTTTCTTTCCGAGAAATACAATGTAAGAGGCCTTTCGACTTTCGAGGTCTCTCGAGAACTTCCAATGTGTGGTTGCGATGATAAAAACAAAGCGCACTTTGGGGCGAATCATTTCTTACTCGACTAGATTAGAGTTAATAATCCAAAAAATATTTCTTACTCACGCATATCTGGTCTAAATGCGTTACGTGACCGACTATACCCAACTGGAACTGGTGAATATTCAGTGATACTCCCCGCGTGAGAAGCTTCTCGCAAATATTGATTGAAGATGAGAGAGCACTTTGATGCTATTTCATGAAGCTCAAAGTTTTCCTCAAGCGTTGCTTCTTGGAACAAATAATGACTGCGGACAAATATCCGGGCATATTTTCATGCCAAATAGAGGCCACCATTTACAAATAAAACACTGTGTTTATAAATCTGATCGTTCTTTGAATGCAGAGTTGCATACAGGAAAAGCATCACCATTGTCAAACGGTCAATAAACTTTGGAAAGTACGGTCAAAATTTCAACCAGTTGTGAAAACTTAGAAAATTATTTAGGGCAAGACTTGGTATCAGGGAAAAAAAATGACAAAAAAAATGTCACCAGCACCTTCTCCACCCAGCTGCCTCAATTTTTTTAGGTCTTCCACATCATTGGCATGTTCCAAAGCTTGATCAATAGGCGCTGTATCAATGGAAAATGAAACAATTGTTTATTATCAATTTGACGATACTGCAACCTCTTTTAAAGTGCAATCAGATCAAACTTGAGCAACACGGTTGGAAACTGAGTACTCCTTTAAAGAAATTTCATCAACAAATTTTAGTACCCTTGTAACTATTCTTATTTGTTCGTTTGCTTGTTTTTTAACCATGTTGTGACACTCACTAGCAGTCGATGTCGACGGGCCTGTGAGCAGTTCATCAGTAGGTGAGGTCAGTCCTTCCTTGTCATCATCGAAGTCTATTTCCCTGGTCACAACTCTGCGTCCTTTCTTGTTTCTCCTCTGTAAATAAGAAATGAAAGCTGTAAATGTATCTTTAAACAAGTTAAGGGGTACAGTTGTAGACGACAGTGATTTTTATAACTGTAGGTAATAAACCACTGCAGTAAGCTGCAGGGACACTTTGAGAGGTTTGCATTTGTTCAAGTAAGGTGTAACATGGATTTTTTTGTCACATACAAATGTTTCTAAAGATGAAATTTTGCTTGAAAAGTTTTCTCCTGGGATTTTTTAGTTTTTCATGGAGACCTGTGGATGAAATTTACTCAAAAAAGCTATCTTCACCTTTGATTCCCTAGGTTCACATGGAGACCTGAGAATAAATTTTTCCTTAAAAGCTGTTAATTGACCTAGATTTTCAAGGTTTACACAGAAACAAAAGGGTAAAATTTTACTTTAAAAGCTCTCTTCACCTTGGGTTTTCTAGGTTTAGATGGAGAATTTGACTCTTCTTGAGACTCTGATGACTCCATTAAATCTTCCTCGACTTTCCTGATGGTTTTAACTCGATGGTGCGTCACAGATGTTTCAGGGATATAAGATAACATGGACACTGGATGCACATTTCTACCAAGTAACTGTGCAAAAAAAGTTGAATAATCGATGCAAAAATTAGTTAGCTTACAATAATCCACTTTCCACTTACATGTACCTCTATAAGGAGATCTGGGTCTTAAGGGAAAATTTCATGTACAGTTCACATGTAAAACACCTTTGGAAGTTAAGGGTTGTTAAAAAAAAATTGTACTTACAATGTTCATAGATTTTAATGTTCACTTGATATAATTATTTGTCAGTCTGTGACAAACCTTAAAATACTGGAGCAATGCAAAAAGTTGATGCACAGGTACCTTGATTAAATTTCAGTTACTGGCATTTTATTAGTTGTCCTAACAAATTAAACATTAATTTTTCTTTTAAGGAACTGCATGACTTACCACTTGCTCTTCAGAGTCTAGAGGCTTCCCATCAAGTTTGATCTGGAAAAGAGAAAAAAGATTTTGGGAATTATAAACACCTACACTAAATAGGAACTACTATAAAGGAGAACCTTGCTGATGTCATTATGGTAATAATTATGTTCAAAACACCTTTTAATATATGTTTCAAATGTGATCAAACTTTGAGGGGCACTAAATGGGATTATTACACAACTCGGGAAGTCAGAGGGCCAATAACTAAAATCAACCAGTCAAAATGCTCCATTGCCGGTCAATATTCTCTCAGTATTGGACCGGGCACTGTCCCGAATGGTCCCGAATGATACCACACTTGTGTCCCTTTCAACATCAGTCGTGTAATAAATCTCCTATTAACCAAGCTTGCTCAGGACCGTACTGGAAGAATATCGGCCCTTGGTCTTTTTTGTACGGACCACGCTGCGCTCGGTCCGTACAAAAAAGACCAAGGGCCAATATTCTCCCAGTACGGCCCTCACGCTTGGTTAATAAGGTATATATAATGAAATGTAGAAAGTGGAATCAATACTCATTTTCTTTGATGATATGAAGAAAAATTTATCACAAACTTTTTCTTTAATGTCTAGTATACTTACTGGTTCAACACGAGGTATAGGATATAAACATGCGATTGTAGCTCGTCTGTAGTAAGCACAGAATACAACAGGATTTCCTTGAAGGTTTAACTAAAATAACAAAAAAATCATTTATTAATAATAATAAATAGTGATACCATTTCATCTATTCATAATCAATTAGTCTATTTAATGCAACTACTAATCATAAATCTGACTCACAGTTCAATTGTTACAGTTATTAATTATGAATGATTATCAAATTTACTCACTGATATAAGGTCATGAAGGAAAGCTAGTGGTGCAAGTTCTGATAAAGCTGCTATGCAGTTAAAAGAAACATCAAGAACTCGTAACTTGGAGAATGCCTGGAGACCTACAGAGAAAAGTACCAAACAAAAAACTGTAAGTAACAAGGTTGATCATAAGAAAACACTACATGTACAAAATAAAAGCTTGCGGCAACATGTGACTCAGTGCAAATGGATAACAAATTTGTGTTTGTCTGAAGGTTCAGTTAGTGCGTTGTCATGTAAATACACTCAAAAGTCTCTCATTAGCCATTGGGTAACTGCATCAGCATAAGATTTCCAAGTCAAGGCTTTGTAAGGCTTTGTGTTCAGCTGAAGCTGTTCAGTCTTCATGTGATAACCCAAAGTCATAAAACAATTGCCAAAAATACAAGTTAACTCACACCTTTCAAATTCTGCAAGTTGTTATTTTTTAATAAAAGTGTGGTCATGTTCTTGAAGATCAATGTTCTGCCTTGAGCTGGTGGCACAGGAATGCATTCTAACTGGTTAAATCCCAAGTTCAAGTGTTGGATGTCAGACAAATACTGCAACAAAAAACATCTGGACAAATTAATAAAAAAAAAGACTTTCATAAAAAATGTGAAAAATGATCAAATTTCATTACAATCACTTATTAATAAAATAATATCCATCCAAAAAAGAAAGGAAAGAAAGAAAAATAGATGAAATTTGCATTTACTTCTTACCTCCCAATTAACCAAGGACTCATCATCTTCAGTGATATTAATACTGTTGTGGCTAAGATTTAGGACTTCAGCTGCTGGCAATAGTTTCTATTAACAATGAAATGGAAAGGGTCAACTTTGGAAATACTTTCTCTTTCTTCAGTAATATCTGTTACAGTTATTGTAGTAACAATTCTAATATTGCCGTTTACATGTATCTTTTTAAAGGTGCAAAGTTATGCAAATACATTTGAAATAACCTGACTCCCTCATCAAAAATAAATCAAGAATTCTAAATTTCAAAAAAAATAAATAAATAAAGTGATTCACAATCAGAAGCTCTATTTGAGTAAAGGGCAGTTAAATGCTTCATCCAGGTGTAACTAGATGGTACGATTCATTTTGCAAACCAGGATAGGTAGATCATTGGATTAATTTTCTCTCACAAAAACTGCTACTACAGCTGGATTAATACTATGTACAGTATTTGAAAATTAATCTTGATTTTAAAGTAATTTAACACAAATTCAACTGAAAAGAAATGTACAAACCACAGAATCATCAACTTGCACAATGCCATTGTAACTCAAATCCACATTTTTCAGTTGAGGCCAAGCTGATGGGGCAGTGGAGAGATCTCCACCACAGCGATCAAACACTTCCTGGTATAGAAATAATTATTACTAAGTTGTATGATCCTTTAGTCTCTGATTGAGAGAATATGAAGCTTTACAAGAGAGGAGTGGCCAGGATGCTATCCAGATCTCTTGATCTGTATTCTTGACTTGTGCAAATGCCAAAATGACTTTCCATTAACATATAATACTCAATAAAAAGTGCATACTTACATTAAGTGAGATAAGTGACCTTTTACATGCAAGTGTCTTGAGTTGGGGTCTTAAACTTTGAATTCCTGTGATGAATCCTACTGGAACTTTCTTGATCTGTTGAAATAGAATAAGCTGCCTCTGTTGTGGATTCATGAGACACAGCCTCATGAATCCACAACATTTTCACCCACTGTGATGATGAAAATTGTTGTCCATGGGGTACAAACCATGCTAAACCTTTGTCAACTTATTAATGATACTACAATAGCCAAATTGCCCTTAGTTCACACAAGTACATGTATGAGAACTGATGTTAAATAACAGGTTTATTACCTCTAGCACTTGCAATGCTCGGAAACAAGAAACGTTGATAAGTCCATCAAAATGGGAACATGCTCCTGGTACAAGCTACAAGAAAATACAGAAGAGTTATCACCATTTAGAGACTGTTCAGTCACTTATAGCTTTGATAAGCTACTACAGATAGAGAAAGCTTCCTTGAATGTGGTCGGGAATGTAGATTAAATTAATAATAAGAATCAAAATGTTTACACATGCAATGAAAACTTAATGTATTCAAACTCATATTACCCGTAGAGAAGGTGTCCTTCTAAGAAAGTCATGAAGGAATGTAATAGCTTTCCTGTCTTTGTTATCAACAATTTGCTGGTGATTGAAGACATTTCCCTGCTCGTGTATACCTTGTTGATCTGACATGAGAAAATTATAACTTGAAATTGAACAATTACATGAACCATAAATTGTTTTCTTGATACTGTGGGTCACGATCCTCAAAAATTTCTTTTAGTGTCGATCCTCAATTCTCGATCCTGGATACTCGATACTGGAGCCTCTATCCTCAATCCTCATTTCTTGATAGTTTCAAGTATCAAGGATCAAGTATCAAGTCGAGACTGTCAACTTACTTTTAAGGGGTACTGTAAGACAGCATTAAAATAACCATCATAGAGAGTTATAGTAAAGGTAAATAAAAGGTAAAACCCTAAACAGAAAAAGATACAGTAGATGGCTTCTTTAGGCTAGCAGTTAAGCTTTGTATACAAGTAAATTTGGGCTGAATTTGATTAGGATCATCACAACAAATGCACATACAAGTTGTAAGATCAGATGGTCAAGACAAACAATTAGCTTAGGGGACATCCTCTAGCAGTTTCACAATCAAAATTTTCCTCTTTACCTGATATGCTTTCAAAGCACTGATTTAGGAATGCAAGTGATGTGGCTGTTAAGCACAACTGACTCTCTTGCCTTAATATAGGATCTCCTGGAAAAGCAAAGAAATGTTAAATTTCCTTTAGTTAGGCCTGGCAGAATAATATTTAAAGATAAGATTTAGCTCACCTTTAATCTTTTGTACAAGCAAAGCACGAATGAAAGAGAGGCACCCCACCCCCATTGGGAAAATATTTCAACATAGGGAAAACATGCATGACTACAAAATAGTTTTTATTGCTCAAGTGAACAGTGACTCCAACACTTTCTGAATAACATCACAATTTTTTAAGAGTCCTTTGTCTCAGCCTACTATGTAACATCTCACTAAAAGTTTATTCCAGGAAAACAAGGAACAACATTCTAGACATTAATTTTGTCCTAACAGTATTGGAGTTACTTTGATTGTTATTTTCTATTCCCCAGATGTTTGCGTTTCATCGAAATTATTTACTACTAAAGGGAATATTTCATCTTGTTGTGACTTAACAAGCAATGCACTAACTGCTCAAAGCCTTAAGGAAATATATTTTACTAACTCAATCAAGTTTAAATTTCAGCAGATCGATAAGTGAAAGCTAACACCCAAACATGGGAAAATAAATTACTTTCAACCGTCTAAGAATTCTTTCTTTCTTTACTTTAACCAGTGGTAAGGAAAATGAAGATCTAACCCTTCAAAAAAAGTTTTAGAGTCTTAAGAGGAAACGGTATCACAGCTGGTGTCAGAACTAACATCATCACATGACCACCATCCTCAAATGATCGTAATTTGTTCATAAACGACGTGCAATACCAATTTATTCCTTCATGAGGAAGATGCACGCCTCCTGTATCTCAAAATAACGAACTTTCTACTCAAAGAGCAAGAAAATAAGGTTTTAAAGAAAAAACATTCATTGAACTATGATGTACGTGAGTGATGCACGCAATTTAAGTGATAACAAACCACAATGTTGAAAACGCACCGTGTAACTGAAGAAGAACCGAAAGCTTGTCCAGAAGATCATTTCCTCTGTGGTATGACATTGTGATAGGGTGCTTAAAGAGTCATTTTACGCAATTTTATACTTTCACAAATGTCAAAATTAGTCCCATGATGTCGCCTTGTCTGGAGTTTTTCTTTGGTTGAAATCGAGGCTGAAGTCACGCGCTTTCCTCGGTAATGTTATGGTCACACTGTAAGTCCGTTTATACAACGTAGTGAATGTCTATAGCTTTCACACGACAAGTCAGCAAGAGAAGATGTCGAAGTCAGTGAAGAAACTTGTCGAGGAGACAAAAGACCAAGGTTATACAGAGCTAGATCTCTGTGACAGGAGCTTGTCTACGATTGCAGACATTCCAGGATTGAGTAAGTATTCTGGAAGGTCTTCGAAACAGACATTTGTTCATCAACAATGTCGTTTGATGATCGTCCTCGGGTTTTTTTGTTTTTAGCTGTGCTTTCGCTGACTTTGATTTCCGATTTCCGATTAATCGATAATTTATCCCTCATTTTCTTATTTTACAGCGCAGTTGAGGCATTTGGTACGCCTTACTTTGAGTCATAACAGAATAACAGGTGATTTTATTTTAGATCAATGAAAATCTTATCACAGGATATCTTTACTTCTCTGTCTAAAAGGGTGGGAAGTTGTGGAAATTCTGGGCATTCCTTTGCAGGGTTAGGGCTACTTGTACGTCCTGTTTCAGATGTTACTTTTCCGATACCTCGTAAAGAATTGGAGATTATAGTCATTTAAAGGGAAATACTTTGGGCAGTGGTTCGTCAACTTTAGTTCTCCAGTTAGGCCTAAAATTGTTGAGCTGTAGTCTGTAAATTCGGGGTAAAGATCGTATGAGGGTTTTGACGATTACTTGAAATGGGTGTATAATTATTTGTACGATGTGCATTTATTCATCATGGAGAAAACTTTTTGGTGTCACTGTTTCAAGAAATAACTAATTCACTTTATGTAATTAAATTAAAGATTGTTTTATATGGGTATACCCGGTATGTTAATGCTTATTAAGTACATTTTAGTCTATGTACTTTAAATATAAATTCTTGAAAATCGTACGTGTCTCTTCTTATTTAATTAGCTCTCCCTGAATCGATTGGTTCACTTGAAAACCTGGAGTTCTTGAATGTGTTTAATAATCACATTGAGGTATGTGACCAATTTGCAATTTCAGCTTAGTTGATATAACCAAATTACCTTGATACCCCCACCGATGCAGCACCACAGTTTCTTTAGAAACTTTCACCCTTTATTTGAAGATAATTTAGTTCATCAATGGTGTTGATAATGTAACATGGCCATTGTACAGAGTTTCTAAGCTGTTATAAATGCCTAGTTTTTTATTGGTTTGATTACAGTTTGGGGAAAAATGTGCAAAACAGAAAATGCATTAGAAAAGCCTTCAAATTTTCCTGTGCATCTTTTACAGGAGCTGCCAATGTCACTAGGTTCCTTAAAGAAACTAAGACACTTCAATGCAGCGTGAGTATTTTGGATTACAATGTCTATTGACTAACTGATTGGAAGGGCTGACAGAAACACGATGGCCTCATCATCATGATGTATAGACTTTTCTGTGCTCAACTCATGTCATGACCTTTAGTAAGGTCTATGTGTCCATCAACTGTAGCATAGCTCATTAAAATATCTGATGTAAGGAAAGAGGGGACAGCCCTGCTTGAGTATAACACTTGCAAAAAGATAGTTATAAAGTAACTTGCTATAAATTCAAGTGTGCATGTCTGTGATTCATGAGAACTTTGCAAAGCTGACCACCTGTTCTATAACTTTTGCCAAATTGCAATGTTTTAGGGCATGCTGTGGAACAATTTAAACAGTGAAAATACATAATATTTACTTTGGCAACAGCCATCTTTTTCACTCAGTAACCATCCTGGATCAGCCCTTGACAAGGAACTGATTTTACTTGTCACATGATACTAAATCCCTCTTCTTTGCAGGGTTAGTTACTTGAACACAGGTTTTGCATAACTTAAGATAATTTAATTTGGTTATATCAACTAAGTTGAAATTGTAAATTGGCCACCGTAACGAGTTAAGCTTTTTAACTCATTATAGTGGCCAATTTACAATTTCAGCTTAGTTAATATAACCAAATTACCTTGTTACCCCCACCGATGCAGCACCACAGTTTCTTTAGAAACTTTCACCCTTTATTTTTAGATAATCTAGTTCATCAATGGTGTTGATAATGTAACTTGACCATTGTACAGAGTTTCTAAGCTGATGTTTTGAGCTGATGGAGGGCTAGCACTTCATTTGTTAGCTTTAGAAAACTCCCTGCAGTGACTAGTTTACAATATCAAGTCAGCTGATAAAACCAATTATTTTTAAACTACCCCCCCCTCAGTCCAGCACCACAGTTTCTTTAGAAAATTACCCCCCTTGTTCACTTACCATAACTTAGTTGACAATTGCATTTTTCAGGGTGAATCGACTACGTTCTCTGCCCAGGGGCTTAGGAACAGCATCTGGATTGGAAATCTTGGATTTGACATATAATAACCTTAATGAGAAGTCATTGCCAGGAAACTTCTCTGTTATGAGTAAGTTATACAATAAGTAGCAGTTAATTACCACATCAGAAAGCAGAAGATCAGTGGTAAAAAAGCCTCCAGCAAACTAGTCTGGTTTCCTTCAATTACATGAACTTCCCCTTAACACAGCACCATTTTCAAATTTGAGGTTGAAGAGAATTGATAGATCGAATCTTTCACACCTTCATTCTCATTTACTTTTAACATTAATGTGGGTTGCTAGTGCCATGCAGCAAAACAACCAATGGATTTTAAGGTACTAATAATCTAATAAAAGTACTGGTATGCTTGATTTACAGAACAGCTACGAGGCCTCTACCTCGGAGACAATGACTTTGAAACATTACCGCCAGAAATAGGAGAGCTCAGAAACCTTCAAGTGGTAACTTCCTAAAATAAGATTATATCTGTATGTAACGGGTTACAGAAATTATCTCAAATTTCTGTATTTGAAGTGTGTTTCCCCAAAGCCTATTATTAGCTTGCTATATACAGTGAAAGGTGTAAAGTAATTGACTAAGAACTCAAAGTATTTTCCAATTAAATTTTCAAACTAAAATGCAGATTTACTTTATTGTTACAGCTTGTGTTAAGAGACAATGATCTGTTTGAACTACCAAAAGAGCTGGGAAATTTGAGTAGACTGAAGGAACTTCATCTTCAGAACAACAGACTCACTGCTCTTCCTCCAGAACTAGGTACAGTGTACATATACAGTGCTCAACATTCTAAAGTCACCCCCTTCCTTTCAAAACAAAACAAAATAATAGAAAAAATAAGTTGCACACAGATGGACCATAAGGGGCAGTTAAAATTTTGACAAACAGACAGCACCCAGCATTTGGTGAAGTGCAAAATGTTCATCAGTAAAGTGAATATCAAGGGAGATATCTACATCATCTCCTTCCCTTTGACCCCTGCAGTAAAATTAGAGATTCTAGTGATTAGGGTTTGGAATGAAATTCACCACTCTGGTAATCACAATACACAATATTATGCAACATTTACTCCAAAGTATTAAGTTTTCTCCTGAAATGATTGACTTTGAAGGTGAACTAGACATGGCCAACCCACGACATGTATTCAAACCAGAAGGCAATTCGTGGATACAGCAGCTTGAGGATCAAATTGTTCTGGGACCATCACATGTGTTTGAGTACATCAAGACTGATGGATACAAGAGGTTTGTTGCAGAAGACAAATCTTAACCACAAATCATCTTCCTTTACTGCCCCTCTTCTTCCAATGAATTTTCTTCATTCTTTTCCCTGCATTTAGTTTGTACGAGCGTCATGTTACTTCTGGCAATGCTCCACCACCAAAGAGGGAGAAGGAGAAGACACTGAAGCGAAGCAGAAGAAAGTGATTTCCCCAGTCAGAAAGCTATGATAACACAGCACCATTTTCAAATTTGAGGTTGAAGAGAATGCTGCTGTTTGTCTTGATTAAGTTTAACAGTGTGTATGTCTCAGATTACACCTCAAAGAATTTATTTTGACTGCAAGGAATACCCAGGGAACATTTACAGTGAACATATGTAAGAGATTTTGTAAAAATACATGTTTGTACAAGGAAAAAAAGTACCTTGCTTGCATTGATTAAAAGTTTTCTATTTTTCTACAATTTTGTAAATAAAAATAATGCTCAGAAATAGGAGAAAATGTCTCAATACCTGCATTTTTCAAACCATAGATACAGACCTGAGCCATATACAAACAACCTTCTACAATTGATGTACACAGAACCTTAATTATGATATTAAATTTTTTCTATCAAAACAGTAAATTTTAAGCTTCATGGTTTCTTAAATGAACTAATGGTAGTTAATGTAAAACAGTGTTAATTTTACTTAATTTGTTGATCTGGTATTTCTACATCTTTACAAGTATGAATGAATGTTCTTAACTTCAATTGACTCTTACCAAAAGTGACCTACAGTTTTAATTAAACCATAGAGATAAAATTTAATCCCAAAAAACCATTAGGATTTCTCCTAAGTGGATAAAAATCAGAGAAAACATGAAAGAATCAAAGTACAGAATCCCTTTTTCTGATAAAGCTTGTACTGTACATGTAGAATCACTACACGGTTGTTTTCAATTCAGAGGGCGTCTGGGTTTGTATGTCGCAGCTTTGTGGAAGTTCTCCCTGATAATCTGGTCTCTTGGCTGATTCTGCTTTTCCATGTAGCTCTTTTCCAATAATAACAAGCTCATCTGCTGAAGTGACAGGAAAGTTGTTTGCCACATGGTAAATCCCTGTTGCTAGAAGAGCACCAAATATTGGGCCAAACCAGTAAACCTGAAGGAACAGACAAAAAAACTTGATTATTTACCAAACACAATTCATGAACACTACAACTGACAATGCCATGCAGAAAAGTTGCCCAATTCCAACTAACCACAAGTAAAATGGTTAGTCATTTCCATACCAAAACTACTTCAAGCATTAATTTCAGAAGTGTACAAGCCTTTTGGTGAACAGTGCTATGATATGTTCTGGGTAGACTTGCACCGAACTTCACAACCCAACTACCACTGCATGTCCAGACACAATTTTTCAATACTATTAACCCAGGGTTAGAGTAAGTAGGGCTTTTAACATTTCATGAACATCATATAATTATCTTCACTCCTGATTTTGCCACAGCCTTAACACAACAATTGTCTCTGCAAATATCTACTTTAAATCTAACAAATTAAATGTAGGTGCATGCACTTATAGCCATTATTCCTTCACTCTTGAATCATAAAAGAATGATCACCAACTAAAGAAGCTCTTGATTGTTAACCAATTTCTCCTTGCCAGTACCTAGGGAAGTTTATATAACAATATGAAGAATATTCATAATCTTGTTTGGATGTAAAACCTCAATACCCACCCAGTGGTCAGTCCATTGGTGTTCCACCAAAGCAGGGCCAAAGACACGTGCAGGGTTTATTCCACATCCAGTAATTGGATACTTAAGTCAACATGTGGAAAATCATAATAAGCAACTGCTAGAACACATGCAAACATGAACGGGTTGTGTTAAATAAATCTCAGACTATGCGATGATCCTTCTTCATCACTGAATTACAAATTTTGTGCCCGATCTTTGCTTAGAAAAGACAAAATTCCACATAAATTTACCTGTGTATTAATTATATAGAGGAAAGTGAAAATGATGTTGCTTGACCAAGCTGAAAATTCTTTTGTTGTAAGTGATATGAGTAACACAACCCTACTTTCTTCTTTTCTAAAGAGAGAAATTAGTGGATCAATATCGTGGTCTTACAAATGAAAATTTCAGTCATAAATATCTCTAAATGGCAAAAGTTTGCTTGAACTCAGACCATTGATTATTACCACAATGGAGTGTTTCGATTACCGCAAAGAGATGACAAGCAGCAACAACCTGACCAAACACCACAGAAGCGGCACGATCAACTATTGTGTGGCCTTTTTCTGTACACATCAACACAGTTAACATTACAGCAACTGTCAGAAGTAACTCCACTCCAAACCCTGCCCAAGGAGATACTGACTGAATCTTTCCTCTAAGGTGAACAGAGCTCTCCTCAGGAATGATGACGTACAGGAGACCTGCACCAGAAACAGCTGCAATCAAAAGGGTACAATGGATGTTCTCAAAGAAGAAACTTAAGCAATTCTTCATCACAAATTGACAAGTCATAAAGATTGAATTGTAAAAATAAGACCGAGAAGCACTATTCTGGAAGAAAAAGGCCTCTGATTTCTTAAAACAGTTTGCGCTCAAAAAGCGCAAAGCAGTTACTGTTCAGACCTTTTTGGGGGGCATTTTTGTCTTCGGGATGCCATGGCTATCTTATACCTTGCATCTGTACTATTGGTGTTCGAGAAATTCCGGCAGATCAAAGTTTAAATATTGCTGCTACTAAAATTACCATAAAAGAGGGTTTTGAACCAGCTTAATCAATCTAAAACAATTTTTAACTGTCATTAGTAATCTCCTGTATTATTTTAGCGCAAACAGGAAATTTTCCAAACTGGCAGAGATAATAGCGAGGTCTAGATACGAATTAACGCCTACAACCGTGGCAAGGTAAGGTTTTCGGAGCCGAAAGTTTCGGCACAAATTCAAACCGAGAGAGCCACAAGCTAGTCACTTAGAGATGAAAAAATAGGATACTTTCATTTTCTTTCTGAATTTGTACATTTATCCAAACGGCCTAAGACTTGATCAGAAAGAAAACCACTCATACCAAACTAAAGTTGGCAGTGGTTTCCATGCGAGTAAAAAATAATAATTTCTTACCGCCAATGAGCTGTGCCCATACAAAGCATAAAGCCCTCTTTGGTGATATACTTCTGTTTGCCGCTAAAGCAATGGTGATTGCAGGATTGAAGAACCCACCGCCAAAATAAGTCGAAATGTTCGCCAAAAAAGCACTCGTAAAACCAAAGCACAAAGATATGCTTAAAACGTTTGGTCCTGTTTCTTGCCCCAGCCAGCTTATGGTTGAACCACAACCGATGAAAACGAAAAAGAAAGAGCAGACACCCTCCACAACAGATAAAAGGAAAACAGTCACGAACTCGTGACAGTTCATGGTTACTGAAAAATCCAAGAAACAATGCAGAATGCTTTTAATTTGAGTATCCGTTGCTGCGCGCGAAATTTACCACTGTTATACTACTCACAGAAGAAGTTGCAAAAACTTCCCCCACCCCCCCCCCACCCCTTCACTGCCTCCCACAAAAAAAATGCGCAGTTGACTACGCCCAAATTTTCACATTTTTATGCCTTTATAAAAAATAATCCTGGAAACTGAAAATTAGGTAATTCGTCGCACATCTGAGAAGGCACAGAAAAATTTTACTTCGTGTCACGTTTAAAGGCCCGAACTAATGCAAGGTTTTACTAAAACTGTTTATGTCGCAGTGGAGATTAAAATGTTTTCGCTATTTTGTCGCTTGATTTGCGTCGCAAAGAATAAGTGGAATGTTATTCAAAGAATATGAGACACCTTTGGTCAGAGGCCATATATAAAAAATGTAATTATGAAATGCGGAAAAATTACCATAAGAGATTTACTGAAGGTTAAATATAGAAAGTAGTTCCGATTATATGGGAACAGGTAATATAGTGTCCAGATCCTGACAAAACCTTGAAATAGCCTTTTTAGGCGTTATACCCATAATATATATATTGTACCCGTAATTATATCTATGGCATGAACTGATCGAAGCGGTAATCATAAAAAGTAAAAAAATAACTTCAAGCAGACACCTGATTTATAAAAAAATGCCTTTTGCATGTTTTTGTCATAAATATACGTGATTCACTAATTCTTTTTAGTCGTCGGAAAAGGGGTGCCCAAAATTTGACCGGAAACGAAGACGTCTAATTTTATAAGTTGACTACTTGTTTTCATCACGTTTCGAAGTTTCCCGCCCACTTTGCCGGGTCACTACTATAATAGATCAGTATCTGTGATTGGCTAAGGGATTTTCTCGGCCAACCATAACCCTCGATAGAAAATACAAAGCAAATCTTATTCCTAAAAGCTTCGCATCTTCCCTAATTTTTGTTTTCTTTCGACAAGTATGGCCGAGCAGGAGAGCTTGGAGTATGGCAAAGGGGATTTTGTCCTTTTGGACGAGATCACTAAAGATGCCTTCATGGGCAACCTCAAACTACGTTTTCATAAAGAGCGAATTTACACGTACATTGGAGAAGTGCTTGTGTCAGTAAACCCGTACAAGACTTTGAGTATCTTTGGAAACGATAAAATTCAAGAATACAAGATGCGAGAACTATACGAGAGACCACCGCATATTTTTGCCTTGGCAGATGCAGCTTACCGAACGATGAAAAGGCGGTCAGAAGACACTTGTATCGTAATTTCTGGTGAGTTTGTTGCGCTATGTAACGCTATAGTGCATCGAGGTCGAGTTAGCGATATGGGACTCATAAATTTATGCAGATTTGAAACCTAGTAACTTCCGAATAAACTGAAAACATATGTATCGAAGCGCTTTCGGAACGAGAGGTGGAGTTTTTTCAACTGAAAATTTAATTGAATGGAATTTGAAAGCCTCTTACTTGTGTCGTAGCTAAGAATAATAAATTCTAAATATTTTGTTGTGTTCTTAATGACGTCTGGGAGCCTTTAGCATACATTATACCTCAACATAGTAATGTTTTGTTAATTTTCGTAGGGCTGTAAAACGCCAATGGTTGATTTATTTCAGGCTTGATCTTTGCAAAGAATTTATTGTAAAATAAAAGTTAGCAATTTTCCCACATAGGGAAAAAGAAAAGTTACATTGAAACTGTTTAAATTCTTCGGTTTCTGAATTTTTTAGATCTAATCTGGCTGACGGCATTTGAAGACATTTTGTAAATTCTTTTATGTGGGATTCTTTAGGTATTTAATAGATATACAAAGGCCTTGCTGATCTAAAATTTAAGCGAGAAAGTTCCTGGGTTCTCTATCTTTGTGAGCTTTTCAATGTTGGTTCCTAAATGAAATAGCAAAATAATTAAATAAATAAAATTTTGAGCTGTCATTTCTCAAGATAACTTTTGTTAACTGTTTCATTGTCAACAATCTTTGACATGTCATCTCTTTTCAAAACAATTACAGTTGAAAGGACTAGCAAAAACTAACGATAAAACCCGACGTTTCGGTGTCATCATGACGCCATTGTCAAGGAGAAATAAAAAATGAAGTTTGTGGCAAGGTGTAACACTAAATTAGCATAAATAGGTTACGAGCTAATTAAACAAATACTTTTGCGCCAATTGAATCGCTTTGCAATGGCGTCATGATGACACCAAAACGTCGGTTTTTATCGTTAGTTTTTGCTAGTCTTTGCATTTCTAAATCTTTATTGATAAGAATTACAGTTGAGGTCACCAAAAACATTTTGATGTGGCTCTGTCAAAATAAATTGATCCTGAAATAATCAAACAGGAATAGTAGTACTTTTCCCATATTCCCCTTTTTTCACACTCTCTTCTTCACAAGTCATTGCTGATTTAATGAGGCACACACTAATCTTCCATAAACAGAAGTTAATTATGCTGAAACTAATTTAAGAATCTGAGGAAAGAAATCATCTTTTTTAAGAAAGATTTCACATGAGATCAGCAATTTCTATTTGTCTCTGTCGGAAGAAATGAATCCTAATTTAAATCGATAAATTTTTTTTTCTACTTTCTAGTCTCCTTTCTTTATTAATATAAACCAATCAATCAATCCAAGTTCCTACATTAGTCATTCTCATTCGGGTGAATAACAATATGTTTGAAGACCTCTACTAACTATGATTCAAGGTAATCAAATCACTATTAATACTCCTTTTCTTTGAGGAAAAGATGAATATTAAATATTTTAAAAAGAATCGGACTATAACCCCAAGGGGTTTTTCAGGACCAGTATAAGTAAACTACTGAAGATATATCCTCTAAATAAATTCTTAGTGGCTTTAATTAATTAAGCAATTATTAAACTGGCAGGAGCCATTGACCTAACCTGGCTCTTTGTCAACACTTCAACTCCCATGAATGACCAAGACAGAACTTTTTCTTACAATTTCATTACACAATATCAAAGCAAATTAATAATGAGTATCACCACTGAGTATCAAATTCTCCAAACTGACATCATAAGAAGTATGTGACTGACAGCAAAGAGAATTACTAATGAGATCTCGAGTACAAAAGGTTAGAGATATGACCCAGGGTTAAAGCATGGGACCACCAAGTCAAGATTCAGAAAGTGACTGGATAGAGGGCATGCATCTAAATCACCAGATTAATTAAATCCAGTACCATAATATCATTTGGGGGGGTTTGGATAGATTGTATTACTCTCTGCACAAGTAGTCAGGAATTATGATAATAAATTTTATAACACATTTGATACTACTGATTTTCATATTAATTTTTCTAACAGGTGAAAGTGGTGCAGGGAAAACAGAGGCTTCTAAAATTATCATGAAGTATATTGCTGCCGTCACTAATGTGTCAAAACAGTCTGAGGTGGAAAAGTAAGCAATTTTCTGATTTATCATTTGCAGCGCATTTTGATTAGGTCACCAAGGAGATCAGTTTTTTTTTATTAGCATGAAGAGCTCAATCAAACTTTTAGTTGTTTGTGAAAATTACATGTTCATGCACATAAGTTGAATTAGCTGGCAGACTGAACAGGCAGAAAAATAGCTAACCACTAATTTGTTACTCTAACATCATAGCCATAGTGTGTTTTTTTAGGCAACAGAGATTGGGGAAATCTTTGTCTACAATCCAGAATGTTTTTCATGGCTAAATTTTGATAGTCTGAGCTATTTTTTGTGCAGAGGTGCTGGTGGGCTTCTCACAAAGGGGAGGTGAGGTCTGTCTATTAGGTGTCCGGTCTGTCCAGACACCTAATACACCTCTCCAGTTAGCTAACTCCCCCAGGCGAGCAAAGCAGGCAGTCTTAACTCTCAAAAGCTTCTCAAGAAACCTGTGAGATGCTTGTGAAGCAGCACCAGGGAGTAGAATATTCTTCACTTGTAACATGCTACTCTTTTGCTAGCTATCACATTTCTGTATGAAAACCCTGTTGTCATGCATATGAGGCATGTATTGACAGAGTGATATGATAACCACAAATTGTATTGTTTATCTCAACAGGGTCAAGAACATTCTCTTAAAGTCCAATGCTATTTTAGAGAGTTTTGGCAATGCTCGAACAAACAGAAATGATAATTCCAGTAGATTTGGAAAATACATGGACATTGACTTTGACTTCAAGGGAGATCCTGTTGGAGGACACATTTTTAATTACCTTTTAGAAAAGGTTTGAAGATGTTCACATTTTAATCATTATTAACGGAAACATTTAGTTGACAATACTTTAATTTATGGTATTTTTTATCTGTGTCAAACATTTGTTAGACAGAAATTCTTCTTTAAAATTAAAGAATGTATGGTTCCAGAAAATTATCATTTCTGCTCTTTGAAATTTAATTGAATCAGAGTTGGGTTTGGGTATGGAAAATTTCATAGAGGGTATTAAACTGAAATTTGCATGGTGTATTCAACCCTAGAAAACCTTTGCGTGATATGTTTTTTGTGAAAAGGCTCATGAGGAGGGTTTAAAAGGAGACACTCATCACAAACACTGCTTGGAATTGATATCTGGGTGTTTTTATTCCCTGAAGCCTGAATTCAATTTTACTCAAGACTTTCAAATTCCTGTTTGTCTTTCTTTTTCAGTCTAGAGTTGTTAAACAACAAGAGGGAGAGAGAAACTTCCATTCATTCTATCAGGTTTGTAAAAGTGAAAGCCATTGTTTGCTGATTCTATGTATATCTTTTTTACAGAAGATCCTTCTGAATTTACAGCCTACAAGATAAGCTACAGTTGTAGGTTGTTAGTGATTGTGTAATTTGAGCTATTTCTTTTATGAGAGATGAATTAGCTAGACAATCAGCAGACTCCCATGGAGTCTTGGTCCACAACATCTTGACACAGGATTGTAGACAGTTTTTCATTCAAGGTTGAGGCATTTACATGCTGGTTTTTGTGAATACTTGATTAATATCAACTTTTTTTTCAGTTCACCAGCTATCATTAATGGTAGCAATTTGCTTTTTACTAGTTACTCAATGGAGCACCTCCTGAGACCCTAAAGGAATTGTATCTAGAAGAGAAAGCTGAAGTTTATCACTTTGCCAATCAAGGAGGATGCACACAGGTCTTAAAGAGAATTTTTTACTTGTATATACTTAGCTTGAGCCTATTGTATCTGTCACATTACATTATTATTAGTCTAGTTGGTTAAAATGCTTGACTTGTGACCCAGAGCTCTTGCTTTAAAAAAGTACAGGCTCTGGTTGTTTGAAGGGTGAATAAGGCTAATGATTATCCACTAGATCAATCAGCGACTATCTGTTGGATAGTGGGGTATGGTTAGGTAGCACTTATCCCCTGGATGATGATGATTCATCTACTGGATAGCATCATCTGCTCTTTGAATAACTGTGCCCCGGTGTACAAGTAATAAATTATATGCTTGTAATTTACCAGGTTGTTTGCTTTACCAGCCAGTCAGGATTTTTCATGAAATTGAGTAATGATTATTATGTCTGCTCAGTACATGTATTTTATTATTTTGTTCCATTTCAGTTTCAGTCTTACAAGTTTTTAATGCTCTTACAGGTCAAGGCAATTAATGACACAATGGATTACAAAGTTAATGGTGAAGCTATGACATCTGTGGGCTTCTCTGCAGAAGAAAAGACTACAATATGGAAAATTGTTGCAGCAATTCTTCATTTAGTGAGTTCCTGTTTTAAATAGATATAGTGTGGTAGGAAATGACAGAATTAAAAAAAGGCTCACCCTATCTGTTTTTCTTTCTGCAGGGAAACTTAGAGTTTGTTGATGATGATAAAGAACAAGCATCCATTAAGAATGATGAAAAACTCAACATCATTGCATTTCTCTTGGGAACTGAGCCAAGGCAAGTGGAAAAGGCCTTGTGTTACCGTGTGGTTGCAGCCAGATCTGAAGTGGTGGACAAAGGACACCATGCGAAGGATGCATCTCACGGGCGTGATGCACTTGCTAAGGTATAATGTACATGTATTGCAGGCTTATTTTTGTTGGAACTGTTGTGTAAGTTAATCTATAGAGAAGGTAACTTTCTATGTTGTACTGAATCCAAGAAATACCACTGACAGAATCTATATCCATGCATAAGTAGTCATTTTATTTAGGCCCTATTACCTGTATTTGAGGCCGAGGCTGGGCTGGTCCAGTGGTGGTTCATGAAGCCATTGTCATTAATTGCCTTGAGACACCTTAAGTTTGCTCATTTTTGTATTGGTGGATGTTGTTCTTTTTCTTTCAGGCCATGTACGATCGCCTATTCTCGTGGATTGTAGGACGGATTAATGATGTGATTGAACTGCGGGATCAAGTGGCTCACGGAAAGTGTACAGTGATTGGAGTGCTTGACATCTATGGCTTTGAGATCTTTGACAACAACAGCTTTGAACAGCTCTGCATCAACTACTGCAATGAGAAACTTCAACAGTTGTTTATTGAGCTTGTGTTGAAACAAGAACAAGAGGAATATCAGAGAGAAGGAATCCAGTGGGAGGAGGTATGTAGTTGTCGTGCTCAGAAAATGCCATATCAATTATTTATCAACGGAGAAAAAAGTCTACATAATAATGCAAGAAAGTTAGGTTGCCTGGATTCTATTGTACAGTCGTAGATTGAATACTTCAAAAACAAGACCATCTGAGACCTGACTTAGCAAAACCAATGTTATGTCAATTATTGATAGACAGAGAAAAAATCTACGTATAATGATGTGAGAGTGTTGAGTTGCTTGGATTTTATTAATACAATTGCAGATTGAATACTTCAACAACAAGATCATCTGTGACCTGATTGAGCAAAACCACAAAGGCATTTTGTCAATCATGGATGAGGGATGCAGGAACATTGGTAAAGTATCTGATGAGGTATGTGCTCTATTTCCGAAATAGAATGAGAGAACGATATTGTTTGGTCAGGCTGTAATGAACGTTAGACAATAGAGGATCTTATCAAGAAATCAAGAGAAAATAAGTAAAAGCAAGCAAGGTCTTCAAAGTCACTGTTCAGGGGATTGTGCAAAACTTAAAGAGAGTACCCAGGACTCGAAACTAACTTTTCAACTTACTAGCCAAGTGGCTATAGTGATAACCTTAGATGTTACGACAATTGCAGTTTGTTTACTAACCAAACTGGCAAGTGGAAATCAAAAACCACCAGCCAAAACTGCGTTTCTATTAGTCTATAGCTAGTTGGCTACCGTTAGTGTCGAGCCCTAGTACCCTTATAGAAGAGGTACCATTGATTAGGCTGAGATGTAATCAACTCCTAGAGCTTCCACTGTCTTCCAAAAATGATAAGTAATTTTTTTAGTAAATTATACTCAGGATATCTAAGAGTGGTCCTAATTCCTGTTGTTCCTTTTCTTAAAGATGTTGTTGCAAACCATGGACCAAAAGTTGGGAAAACACAACCACTACAGAAGCAGGCTGGTGAGATGACATTAGAAGGAAATAAGCTGTGGGTTGGAATGAATTGAAAATAGGCTCTATTTTCAAATGCTCCCCGCACCTTGCAACACCTCCTAATTGAGGACGAAAACTTTTTTTCTGAAATTCTGAGTTGAATTATTTGGAATTGGATTGTGGGTAAGTGGACAAAACTTACCGGCACACCCATACACAGAAGTTTTTTTTAGACATAGCATATATCTATTTCCTAGACACCTCACCATTATCTACAATCCAGGTTGCACCATGTGAATCACTGCTTGGTCCAGCACTAAAATAACAATATTTAAAAGAGGTGGACACAGGGCACCTTCTAGCATTTTCTCATTTGCTTTTGTTGAGACCTGCCTGTTTTCAACCTATTTTATTCCAGACCGACCCCACAGACAAATCAATGGAATTTCACAAGGATTTCTGCATCAAACATTATGCAGGAGATGTAATGTAAGTCAGGGCTAAACGTAGGCGTATTAAAAGATGATCAAAAGATTGATAACTTATTTGTAAACAGAAGCTCATCTTCTGTTTTGTTTTTGATAGCCTCTCCAATCCTTTCTCTCCTTAGATTCAGATATCGATTCTCCTCACTGTCTGCCATTTGTTCTTACAACTGAGTTTGACTATGTGAATGTGGTGTTGTAAAAAAAGTCGTTTTTCTGCTTCACATGATATTGATAGGGGAAGGATGAATTCCTTGTTAGTCTCTCCTGTAGCATGTTCCAAAGCGTGCAGTTAGTAAACGGAGCGAAATATTCAACGGTGCGATAATAGCGGCAGAGCGAAAACGCGACTCGTCCCAAACCTATAATGGGGAAGTTTCTAAAGAAACTGTGGTGCTGCGTCGGTGGCGGTAACAAGGTAATTTAGTTTTATCAAATAAGTTGAATGTAAACTGGCCACCGTAAAGAGTTTAACAGCTGACGTTTCGAACCTTAGCCCTTCGTCAGAACGAATGACGAAGGGCTAACGCTCAAAAGGTCAGCTTTTGAGCTCTCTGTGGTAGCTAATTTAAAACACCAACTTAGTTGATAAAACCAAATCGACCCAAACCTCCCTGGTTTATTACTCCTCCTCTATTACCGCGCTGTTCATTATACTAACTGAGCGCCTGGGGCAGACTAACACCCATGGGAGTGAAAGGCTGTATACACCATCGTTCATTTTCCACGGAGAAGTATTAAAACAAGAAAATCGGGGGGAAGTTGATTTAAATACCTGTGCGAATTATTTGATGAAGAGATCTTCCTTTATTGATTGGTCATTCTGCTTTTTTTTTTCCCCTTTTTTTTCATTTACAGATACTCAGTTGTAGGATTCTTGGACAAAAACAAGGATAATTTGTATCAAGACTTCAAACGACTCCTATTCAACAGGTATATGTATTGGTTTATTAAAATTTGTCCCACGCCTCTTAGTTTTGCAGTTTAGTAGCTTTTTGCAGCGCATTCAAATAATTGTCAAGAGGAGAAATGTAACTCGTTCATAGTGGTGTTTTTTTTTTTTTCCTGTGGGCGAAGTGAGCGAGAAAGGTGTGAGTTCTATCATTGCTTTCGCGCTCCGGCTTACAATATTCGTACGCAAAGATTATTCGACTGTCCTAAACAACTTTACTTTTCACAGTGATTGTCTGCTAGGATTTTGATTGGAATGACCAACTCGGAAATAATCAACGTTGCTGTGTGTTTTACCTTTTTGAACAGCTCGCACAAAATTCTCCAAGATATGTGGCCAGAAGGAAAAGAAGACATTACAAAGGTATGGTAGCCAGCTGTCGCCTTTTACTCAGTTTACGACAGTGAAACCTTTTTGAAACGTGCTGTTTGATGAATTAGGGGTCATTAAGGGTTATCTGGCTAAATGCTAAAAACAACCAATCTCTCTAGGAGACGACAAGTTACTTTTATCGCGAACACGGACCAGTTTTTGATCCAATCAGGAGTGATGTTAGTATTACAGCTACAATATTGAAAACCAACTTCACTAGTGTTTTCTTCCGCAAGTTCAAGCACTTGCACCAGATTAAGTGCAGTCCAGGATTAAGCATAATCATTTATTTAATATAAGAGAAAAATCGAGTTTCCAGATGGGATTTGAACCCACGACCCTCCGTGATCTAGTCGGATGCTCTAACCGTATTTCCTTCATTACCGTACTTCGTGATAAGTATGTGCTACAGTGATAATTACATGTTCACAGCTCGTTAAATCTCCAATCTCGTCCTTTTTCGGAAGTCTTCGTGATACCTCGGAGAATTTCCGAACTCTGTTAGGGTAAGGGCGGACTTGTCGTCGATTTGAATTGACATCGTGAAGCGAAATCTCCAGTCGATGAAAGCTGCTATCGACTTGCATTGTGGTATAAAACATTTAACCGAACAGATTCACACTAATGTTCTATTACCAGCTAATTTCAGTGAAATTTGCACGGCACTCTTGACTCGTAAAAACTGAAAAGATTGGTAAATCGAAAGAACGATGCAGAGAATGTTTTCGATTGAGTATTGTAAAATCAGATTGTAAGCAGAAAGTGAACACAAGCCAGCTACCTAAAACGCAGGTAAAGGCGCGCGGCCAAGTCGTGATTGGGTGTAGTTTTGCACCTGATTGGTTGAGAGAGTGGCACAAGTTTTCTTTCGGACCAATCATAGAGCAAAATTAAGCAAAACCGCTGTCGGTGTGTCTTGGTCTGTCAACACGGAGGGACTGTAATGTAGCTTTACTGACCTTGAGGTCTGCGAGGCAAACAACAGCTGAAGAGATTCTTTAGCCATTGTCGATAATGTGCGCAAAAAATAAAACAGATCCAAGGATTTATAGCGCCGTATGCGAGAACCAGTAAGAAAGCAATGAACGCAAAAAATTTGAAGCCGCAAGACGATATCATGGTCCTGTTCGATGAAAACAAGAGTAGCGACCAGTAGATACTGAAAGGAATCCAGCATATCAAAAACACTAACACGATTGCAACAGACATTTTTAGAACGTTTCGCTCCCTTGCTGAACGTTCTCTTGCACTGAATGACTGCTCACCTGGAATCTTTTGCGACTTGAGCCGTAAAATGATGATAATGTAAAGAATGGTAATCAAAATAAATGGGAAATAAAAGAATACAATATATAGACCAAGTCTGTAGTTTTTGATGGATAGCAACCTTTCAAAGGTTTCGTTTAATTCCAACGCACACGCCAACCTTCTTGGATCATGTTGAACAAGTTTTCGTTGAAATAAGTCTGGAGTCTGGAGGATCATTGCGACGATCCAGGTGCTAGGAATAAAGAATCGGCACATCTTTAAACTAATCAGCGGGGAACGGAGAGGGAATACCACAGCTCCAAATCTATCTACTGCTATCAGAACTAGACTCTGTGTAGACACATAGATGGAAACACTCGAGAAGAAGGGAACCAGCTTGCACAAAGCCCCTCCAAGACCGCAACTGATTAACCAGTTGTCGAAATACAACCTCGTTGAAATCCCTGGAAATACCATGATGGAATAAACCAGATCGGACACGGCCATGTTTACAATGAAGAAGTTGTTCGGTTTTCTTATGGTTTTCTTCTAGAAGACAGTTATGAAAATGAAGATATTACCAACAAACGAAGCAAGAAAGAACAGACAATAGACAATGGGGAGACTGACTCTCCCCTCTGTAGAATGGGAGCAGCTCGATGGTTGTGTGCCTTTCATGGAGGTAAAGTTTGCAAAAATTACCTTTACCATGTATCTTGGCTGTCTTGTTCAAGAACTTTACCTTCAATTCTTAAGTCTCGTGGAGCGGGAATGCTCTTCAATCTTAATTACTTTCGCTGTCCGAAAAAAATATTACCCATTTCTTGAGGACAGGCGTCGCCGGACTATCGTGGTGGGCGATTACTTTATAGAATAACCAAACCTTCATTTGCCGTCATTTCTTTAGAGTGAAGACGATGTTAAATTTTCTGGTGAAAACAGTGCTTGGATGGACTTCGTTTGAAGCTTTTTCAAATTGATATTTGTTATCGTCATTCGACAGTAGACACTTTAAATGTAACATTGATGTCAATATGCCAACGCAAAAAGATGGATTTCTTTTAGTTTCTTAATGAAGGCTGACCGCTCTTAAGTGAAAAGGTTTGTTTGTTCAGTGGGCTCGAGGCTTTTTTCCTTCTGGGGTCATGAAACAGATAGAGAGAAGAAACAGTAAAAAGATCAGGGTCACTTTTCATTTTTCTTCCTAGTATCAAATGATAATTGTAACGATGGTGATTTGGTCAGCTTTCCTCAGCGTACATATAAAAGATGTTATTTGTGTTTTAATCTGCCTTTGTTGCAGGTATGGTCTAAAACTTTATTCAACAAAGATTCGCTGGATAAAAAAATGTCAAAGTACATATAATAATCGCAAATTCTTCAGAGATTTTGAGGCTTAAGAACTGGAAGATGATATTTGTGTTTTAATCTGCCTTTATTGCAGGTATGATCTAAAACTTTATTCAACAAAGATTCGCCGGATAAAAATGTCAAAGTTAACGGAAGCTCTAACATTTACCATTCAGGTGCATGAGCAGATTGGTTTTCAGGACGTCCTAAAATTTTAAGTTTGTTGCCATTGTTGGACCAAGTGTTAAGCTGTCATTTTGTGAAACAAATAGCAAATTGTTACTATTAACTTTTTTAAAGTTTCAGGCCTGTGTACTTTCATTTTAAATGATCACTTTCGATGCGACCGCGAAATTTTCATATCAATCGCCTTTCTTATGTAAAAGTCTGCAAGAAATACAGATTTCTGTAGGTGCTTTTTTTTTTTTTCACTTAAACTGCTGATTTAATTTATCAATCTCCAACAAATATGAAAAAGGCAACAACTTCATCTACGTAAAAGTCGGGGATCACTTCTGTAAATCAAATTAATTAAATAATATCCTATAAAGGGGTTTATTAGAATGATGTCTTGGTTACAAAAAAAGATAAGCGATATCCTTCATCAAGGAATATTCAATAAGCCTAAAGTATTCACTGCTAACAGATATGAAGATCCAAGATATCAAATGAAATGTGGATGCGGAATAAAGTTATCGAAAATTGTATATTTCGGTAGAGGTAATTACCTTGTGAACAAACGCAATCAACAAATCATAACCCGATGAATTGCGCGGACGCTAAGACTGATAAAGCGTAAGTTCGATATGGTGTAATCTGAATGAGTCTATTAAGAGAGTTGCTTGCAACATTTTGAGCGAGAGTCAGTACTAAAAACGGTGAAAAAATCTAAAGGTTTAAATCAGTGTTATAAGTAATTGTGCCTAAATTTGTTACAAAATGCTTCAGGCTTGGTTTTTACAATCGAAACGTTTTCGAACATCTAACCATCAAATGCTTAGCTCTTTTGATACACAAATACTCGATCATGGTCACCAGAGAATCCATGCCTTGAAAGATTTGCCTTACTTAATTTTAGGAACGCTGAGTGACCATCCAACTGACCCACTAGTCTTGTCAGATGACGTTTCACGGGTTCGATAACTGTTAGTCATCTGCCCGATTTATGTCAGGTGATGAATTTGCGAAGCACTATCAAATCTGAAACTCTGTCTGTACATGAAAATGAACCGCTGAATTTTACGGTGTGACTTGGTTTGTTCTAGGGTTGGTAGAGAAGCAGTTGAGGAGTTTCTTAAGTCCTTAACGGTAATTTCCACTAAAAATGAAACAAATGCAAGGATTTATTGAAGAATATGACTGTGATAGTAGAAAGGCGACGGCAGTGAAGTATTGGAAGCCACAAGACGATATCATCTTGCTCCCTGATGAAAGTAATATTAGGAACCAGTACACAGCGAAAGGCAGCCAGCATACCCCAAATGTCAACACGATGGCAATGGACATTTTGAGAACATTTCGCTCCATTCTTATTCGTTGTTCACCTGCGTTGAGCGATTGCCGCCTACCTAGAAATTTCTGGGACTTGAGTTTTAGAAGAATGCCGGGAAAAATAAAGTGTGATAATCAAAACTAAAGAAACATAAAAAAAAAAGCGCTTATAATTGCCAGAGTGTAGTATTTCAAGGATGAGGGCACTCCAGAGGCGTCTTTCCACTGCCGCACACGCATTAACCTCCCTGAAGTCTGGCCAAGTTTGTAGATGAACAGCTCCGGGCAACGCACGGTCATAGCGATGACCCAGTGGTGAAAATGACGTACGGGCATAGCTTTGGACTGATTAGTGGGGAGCGGAGAGGAAATACCACAGCTCCAAAACGATCCACTGCTATCAGAGCAAGGCTTTGAACAGATACAGTCTCGGAAACCTGAGCAAAATAGAGAGGCGTCTTGCACAAGGCCTGACCAAGACGGCCACTGATTGGCCTGGAGTCGCCACCAAACAAAGTTATTACAATAAAATAGAGAGGCGTATTGCACAAGGCCTGACCAAGACGGCCACTGATTGGCCAGGAGTCGCCACCAAACAAAGTTATTACAATAAACGGTACCAGGAAAAGTTGAAGCAGTAGATCAGACATCGCCATGTTTACGACGAACAAGTTGACGGGTCGTCTCGTGTTTCTCGTCTTGTAGACAACTATTCCGATGAAAACATTTCCGGCAATGGAAAGTAGAAATGTTAGGCTGTATAAGCAAGGATAAAATATTTTTCTGGAAGTTGGCTTAAGATCAAAGCAGCTCGATGCCTTCGTGAAATTCAGCAATGCGATGAAGTTTTCCATAGTTGCTTAACAGTGTAAGATCTGTTTCACGGTATTCATTCTATTCTATTTTTCACGTTTAATGAAAATATTAGAAAATCACCTTATATATTTGGTGATGGAAATTACACAGGAAAATTTATTTTTGTCCATTATCTCTCCCTACGAAATGAATTATTGTTCTTGGCAAGCGCTCATACTTTCTTCAAACGACCACCTCAAAGCTTTACAGTTTGAAAATTAAATTTTGGTTTGAC